GGAGAGAGAGGGAGAAGGAGAGAGAGGGAGAAGGAGAGAGAGGGAGAAGGAGAGAGAGGGAGAAGAAGAGAGAGGGAGAAGGAGAGAGAGGGAGAGGGAGAAGGAGAGGGAGAGAGAGAGGGAGGAGGAGAGAGAGAGAGGGAGAAGGAGAGAGAGGGAGAGAGAGAGAGAGGGAGAAGGAGAGAGAGGGAGAAGGAGGGAGAAGGAGAGGGAGAGAGAGGGAGAGAGAGGAGAGAGAGAGAGGGAGAAGGAGAGAGAGGCAGAGAGAGGGAGAGAGGGGGGAGGAGAGAGAGGGAGATGGAGAGAGGGAGATGGAGAGAGGGAGAAGGAGAGAGAGACTGTTGCTTTCTCAGAATCATTAAGTGATATTAAAGTCAAAAGGATTTTGAAGCTATTTCAAATTCTGATGAAATCCCTTACAATGGTTGCTGCTCCTTAATATTTCAAAGTTTGTTTCCTTCAGAATCAGCTGGTCACCTGAGCCCTGATATCCTGTTTTAGGGGGGCTCTTTTACCTTGCAGGTTCCTGTGGAGCCACCCTTGTGTGTGATAGTAAGTTTAGTGTGTCTCCATAAACACACGGACACGGCAAGGCTAGCTGTGCTATTACAGTTGTATGAAAATATGACACAATGCATAGCCATAGTTAATATTTATATAAAGGTATATTGATAACTTATATAGTTAATTTTTCCTTAGCCATTGTTCATCAGTATAGCTGGTTGATATACTGCCATCGTGTGCTCATTTCGGCTATTGAACCACGTTTTCTGTGTTCCCTCCCATTCATTATGTATTTCCCCCTTCTTCTTAAAAATTTTAGCTTCCATGCAGAATCAGCTGATACCCTGAGTTCTGGTCCTCATATCCTGTTTTAGGTGTGGCTCCTTTCCCTTGCAGAGTCCTATGGAGCCACCCTTGTGTGTGCTAGTAAGCTGTGTGTGACTCCAACAGTGAAGCAATACGTCTGTTTATTGACGCATGTTCACAATATCACAAAGCAAACAAGGTTTTGGGGGCCGTATAGGGTCCCTACATCCGGTAAAATGAGTGCCCTCAGCCCTGATTGTTGAAATGCACAGCAAGGTGATGTCAGGGTCACACGCTGTATGGGGAAGGCTCTGCTCACCTGTGAACATAGGACGGCATAAATCTGTCACTACAAGGAAACTGGACGACAATCTTGGCCTTTGTCACTGGATCTTCTTTGTCTGAAACATAAAACAGCAAATGTTTTTTTTAATATACACAACCTTTGTTCTACAAATAATTCACACTGAGCGACATGGTGAGTCGCCCGTTTTTTCCACGCCTTTCCGTGCTGAGCGGCATTGAGCTACAATGCGCGATATTGAACGACAGTGCACATTTTATCGCGCTATGTAGCGCGACTTATTGGAGTGACTTCTTCGCTGCTACATTGGGCTGTAACTAATCAACAGCGGTCTTGATGTGGCATCATTCTTTCCTTCCATATTGCTGTGCAAAAGTGACCCTTCTGTAGCGCAATATCTCGCAATATTGCCGGTAATGCGTGACTTTGTGCGACACCATCTATTGGGGCCGAATCGCGCGACATCCGCCAAATATAGGGTCATGTACGAGCGACAAGCTTTAGTGTCGAGCTGCAGGCGACATTATACTGTGAGATAAGAACAGCTCCATTGAAATGCATTGGACGAGCTACATAGAGTGATTATGGAGCGGAAATCGCGCAACAAACCGCTCAGTGTGAACGGGGCCTAAAATCTGAAATGTAATCTGTTTATATTTCTCCTTCCCAGGTTCTCCCATGCCTCCTCCTCATCAACATGCTAATTACATTTTAACCTTTTCATTACAAACTTTATTTTAGATCCAGTGATATGATATCTGGTTCTTTGTGCTTCTCTGTGCAATGCAGGCAGATCTTGGGTGGTGGGAGGGGCCGGCAGGGTGCTGTACATAGCTTCTTGAATACATCAGGAAGAGCCCCTGAAGAGCCCTGATGCAAGCAGTGGGCTGGCTTATGGGAGGAGTTATGCAAATATCAAAGTGCCTTGATGGGTAGGTGTCAGTCTGGACGAGTGGGCGTTCCTAGGCAGGCTACGTTTACATATAAACTGTCCTAGTCAATGTCCACATGTGATGCTGACGGAATTAAAATCCAATGAATAAAAGGGGCCAGCCAGGGACAATCAGACTGGGTAGGAAAGCGCTAGATGATGCTGGATTACCCCCATCTACATGAGATGGGCTCTATCTGACTTGCTGCAGTTTCTAATGCACATTGTAAGAAGCTCACAGTGTGCAGTGACATCAGAGGAAGCAATTTCAGTCCAGGGGAGGACCCGGTACAACTGTGCAAGACTGAAGGGAAGGCTGGAGGTCAGCTTTGATACATGAAAATGGAGTCCCAGACCACCCAAGAGACGGCACAGCAGACAAAAAAGTATCTTATGAAACCCTCAGGCAGAGCCATTCAGGATTGAGATGAGTTGTTTTTTTTTGCCATCTGTATCCCATTAGGAAGATTCACCTTCACTTCCTTTCGTTTAGACACAACAGGAAGTGAGAGAGAATCTCTCCAAAATTAGGTAGAGGGAGAGGACACCAAAACAGGTGAATACACTTTAAGACAAATCTACTAAGAATCCATCTTGTTAAAGAACCGCAGCGGACGGCCATCATTCGCGGTAATCCCGGGACACACCTGCCTGCAGAGGGGGGATCTTGATCACGTTGTAAGCGAAGGCGAAATACTTTCCAAAACAGTTTCCGATGTTGTACACACTGCCGTCATTCTCGATGTGTGGATGCGCCGTCACCCCGTTGATGGAGACGTAGTTGCAGAGATCTACCTGAAAGTCAGACAGGAAGCGACAAGGTTATTGATGACTAATCGTGGTGACTCACGCCGCAACATCCGCCCGTCATGACAATGACATTTCCAAAGCCGTTCAGATTTGTTTCATTTACTCTTCCTTCCATCATAAAATGATCGTTTAAATTCACAGTCACGCTCCGACTCCCATCACCTTCATAATGAGCAACAAACAGCCCATAAACCTGGAAAGGTTGGATGTGTCATGGAGAGGCTTAAAGTGACACCAAACTCCGGAGATAAATCCTAAAAATACATTCAAAGCACCTTAATTATTACCAAAAATGTATCTTATTTGTGTATCACTCGGCTGTAGATCCTCCAATCATCTCTGAATTGGTGCTGACACTGTCCTTCCTTCTGGAGGGTGGCTACTTGTGTTCCCCATGGTCCCCTGTGTGTGTTGTAAAGTAGTCACCGCTCCAAGCTCACTCCTGTGAGGGGTGACACAGCTGCAGCTTCTTCTCAGATCCCCGCTGCTCTCCCCCGCCTGTATGGGCAGAGGCAGCGGGGATCTGAGGAGACAGGCTGTGCCGCCCCACTTCTCTGTGCCGTGCTGAGCCCTGGCTGCGCCCCCCCGGGCAACTGTGCCCGAGGCCAGTGCCTCAGTCACCTCGCCCTAGCTACGGCCCGGCCAGCGCGCCTCCCAGCCACCTTGCACTGCAGTGCACAGAACAATACTGCAATACCATATGTTGCTGTGCAAAACATTAGTGCATTCATGGTGGCCATGAGATGTGTTGGAGGGCCATTTAAATGCTAAATACCTTGTGCCCTTCACTGGAAACCCCTGAACCCAATAATTTGGCAGGAGAGTCCACATACTATGGGTCAGATTATGGATAGAATCGTCCACAGACCTTTGGCCATATAGCGTATATAAACTAAAGGGTCTTTCTATACATTTGCTTCCTGTTACCTTTTTAATGGTCTCTAGCGTTTCTGGATTGACCTTAGTGATGAAATTGGTTTCTGTGCACGCGTAAAAGTCTTCCCCCACAGGGTAGATGTTGACCAGGGCATTGTCCGTCACCTCTATCCCTTTAAAGTAAGAGAAAAACCTGCAAGACAACACAGGAGTCACTGACTATACACAACCCGTATTAGTTGATATGTGTGAGGAGAGTAAATACATGTTTCATTTTCTCTGGTATGTGAGTTTGCATTAAATCTCACCAAATGTCCCAATACCATCTGATACCCTCACCTGGAGAAGATGTTTTTGCAGGGATCGGGGTAAGCAAACGTGCCAAACTCTGTGATCACAATCCTTTTCTCAGTCATGGCCCTGACGTACGCATCGGTCTTTACAAACCTGCAAAATAAGAGCATAGCATCATTGAATATTGAATACTTGTAGTATATCGATTGCTTCCTCCAGCCCCATAAAAGAAGGTCCAAACCTCCATACAGGGACGGATTTACTCTCTCTGCTGCCCCAAGGCCAGGTTCCTCAGACGGCATGGGGAGATAGGAATTCCACACCCCTGATGCCAGGGCTGGTGCTGCCACTAGGCAAACTAGGCAGCCACCTAGGCGCAGTCGCGACCACTAACCCCCCACGGCCCCCTTCCCCCATCTATTTCAAATTACAAAAGCCACTAGCAGGCTGGCTTTTGCACCCGCCCACTGAGCAAAAGATCGGAACAGAGAGTCTTTCTCTCTCAGGTCTACTCCTCTGCTCAGTGGGTGGGGTTTCAATAGCCAGTCTGCTACTGGCTATTTCAAATAGCCAATAGCAGTCCTGCTATTGCTCTCGTCTGCTTACATACACCTGTTGCCTGCAGAAGGTAGCAGGCAGGAGAATGGGGTCACGCGGGAGGGGGAGGATTGAGGGTTGTGCCGCGGGAGGAGGGCTGGGGGGTGCAAGTAGCTGGTCTTGCCTAGGGTGCAAAATAGTCTAGCACCGGCCCTGCCTGCTGTCCCTCTACTCCCCGCTGCCTCAAGGCCGGGCCTTGGTTGGCCTTGTGGGGAAATCCAGCCCTGTCTCCATGCAGACCTGAGGCAAGGATGTGCACAGTGCAGGAGCCTGTGTATTGCACCCGTGGTACACTGATCACGGTTTCAATGGCCTGCTCAATGCAAAATAATTAACAAATGCACATTTTTTATTTTATTAATGTGGACTTACTTATTACATTTTTGCAAAAGGTGGACTTTTCCTTTAAGATCTGATCATTGTATTAAAAGTCTAAGCGCCAACCACTACAATGGTGGCAGCGGTGAGGTTTCAGGTCATAGGACCAAGCATCAAGCCCAAAGCACTTCACCGGCTGAAGAGGAGAATCAAAAAGCCAAGATGCTTTTTTTATTACATTTTACAATTTTCACCATTATTTTTTTTCGCTTTTCCACAGCTGGGTTTCCTGGAAAACTTCAGCTGAAAGTCGGCTGAACATTTTTTTCATTGCAGTGGCGGTTTTCCAGAACAAAAGATCTGCAGGTTCAGGAATTAAATCAAAATGACAGTAAATGTGGTGCTTTGAGGCCACCCATGGCAGGTTGTATTTAGTGATAGCGTGTATCCCGCAATTATACACCAAAGGATTCTGGGGAAACCAAACTGCAGCGATAAAACGACACGCGTGTAATGTCCGGTACACAGCAGGGTCAGCTAACTGCTCCGTTCTGTAGAACAGGACTATGATTGTTCATGCCACAGAACGTTCAGTTGAAGCTGACCGTAAAGGCTATAAAAATAACAAACCTCAGTGAAGGTTCTTTCTGGTGGAATAAAGAAAAAAATGGAATTTCACGGATGGATAAAAGGTAATAACTAGTCAAGGATAAGTGCGCTTCTCTAGCCCACAACTACCACCCCCACCATCCCTATCACTCTCATTGGTGGTCCTTTTGGGTTGTTTCTCATCATCACATGGACAAGAAGTGAGGGAAACAACCCACTGGGAACACATAAATATATATACAGAGGAGACATGGAGGAAAGTGTGTGGTGGGGTGGACATCCTCAAAGCTAGCTTATCTCAGTGCAACACAATGCCAAAGCATTGTAATAATCAAACATGGCCGGTTCCTTCCCCAAAAGCAATCAGTAGGGACATCTGGAGAAGCTGCAGAGCACCCATATGACAGCAGGCATGTGAGATTGGTCTAACATAAAGCTTACTTTGATAAGTGCGAAACTTACCGCCGATGGTATGTCACATGGCCATCTTTAATCTCAAACTTGTGGAGGAGAGCCTGACCATCAAACAAGTGATAGAACTGCTCAGAGCCAACTTCAAACAGTCCAGGACCACATCTCAGGAGGCTTCCTGACAGCCAAGTGGGCAGGCGGCCTAAAAAAGAGAGAGAATGTAAGCATGGGAGGGGAACAGAGAGGTGTGAGATAGATATCTAGACCTCTACAAGGATAATAGATAGATAGAAAGAAAGAAAGAAAGAAAGAAACAAAGAAAGAAAGATAGTGTCTAACCTGTGATATGCACACTCATTGGTGTAGCCAGCTCCTCCACCGTCTCAAACAGTTTCTTGTACCCTCCGGCCGGGTGCTCCACTCTACAAGACATCTCAGGTTACCTATTATGTCACTGGTGAGGCTAACGTCAAGGTTTACAATGGAACATTCTTAACTTTGTGGCCGTGCTAGAAATACCCTATTTAGGCTAAAAAGAGTATTTCTTGGAGTGTTCTTCCCACTTCGTCGTTCCACAAGGACAGAAAACCTAAAATATGGCTCATCTGCCTTAGGTTTTGGAAGTATTGATATCTCCTGAGTTACTAATGGCATACAGTTTTCCCTAGAGGTAACCTCTGTTTATGGAGCTTGATGCACTCTATTGGAGTTGCTGGCTCTGTGGAGGGTTAAAGTTTTTAGAACTTTATACAATATGTTTAACGTCTGACGGATCTCAACAGTATAAGGTCATGTGTGTAGATGATAGAAGACCATATGCTAGGAAAGTAAAGGTATGCATGGAAATGAGATGACAGCGGTATACACCATATACATTAATGCAGCCCAGTACTCTGTATATGGAATAAGGCTCTCAAATGGAGAGCAGTCATTGGTCAACATGGTCAGGTGGTCATTTGTGAGCATTATTCCATATACAGGCAGGGTACTGGGCTGCAATGCTGTGTCCTGTACACATACAGTGGGGGAGGG